GCCCTAACCAGGCTGTTCGACTTGAGAATGGAAAGGAATGGCCCTAACCAGGCTGTTCGACTTGAGAATGGAAGGGAATGGCCCTAACCAGGCTGATTAATTTGAGAATGAAAAAGAACGACCCTAACCAGGTTGTTCGGAAATGGCCCCTAACAAGGGTCATTTCTTTTGAAATAGGCACTGGGTCCCCTGCATGATTGATTGAGAAAGGTTGATTGAGAAAGGATGATTGAGAAAGGATGAATGAGCAATGAGAGATGGAAAAGGTCGGTCGGTCGGTCATTGAAATAGCCAATGGGATGGATGAAAGAGATGGAAAAGGCCGGTGGGTCGGTCATTGAAATAGCCAATGGGATGGATGAAAGAGATTGAAAAGGCCGGTCGGTCGGTCGGGCATTGAAATAACCAATGGGATGGATGAAAGAGATGGAAAACGCCGGTGGGTCGGGCATCGAAATAGCCAACGGGATGGATGAAAGAAATGGAAGAAACCGGTGGGTCGGTCATTGAAATAGCCAATGGGATGGACGAAAGAGATGGAAAAGGCTGGTGGGTCGGTCATTGAAATAGCCAAGAGGACGGATGAAAGAGAATGAGAAGGGCAGGATAAAGAAGGCCGAGCCTTAAAGCCAAGAAGGGCATACACCGTTGGGACGGTCATAAAGAATGGATATTGCGGAATGTGAAAGTTGAGAATTGGAGGTGGGCCGACGGGTCGGCCTTGAAAAGATGGCTATTGAGAAAGCAACCGCTAGAGCGGCCACAAGGGGTGGCCTTGTTGATGAGAGGCTGTCGGACCAGCCATGAGAATCAGCCTTAAAAATAGCATTGGATTGAGTTATTGAGAATTGGATATTGCATCGCATAGTCAGAGGACCCTAGGCAACTTGATGAAAGGTCGTCGGGCCAACCATGGAAATAGCAAGAGATTGAGCTTTCCCTTACACCGCCGTTCCGCCTCAGCATCAATCACATCGGGTAGTTCTCATCACACTGTGAAACACCCAATAATCACCATATAGCCTTCCTGGCGATCCCCTCTCCACTTGGGTCTCCTGTTTATCTTCGCCATCCTCACTACACACTCCCTACAACAGCTCACTTAGCATACCGCATGCATGTACCGCATAGGCAGAAGACAAGCGCCAGATTAGCACACCGTACCACAGCACTGATACCAAATTGCAAGGAACATGAGCAATAGCGAATTTCAGAAACCAAACGGCATCATACACATGAGATGAGATAGTCGTGACCTAATGAACCAATGTCGATATCCTATCTGGCGCTCCGCGCCCAGACTACGAATGGCAGATCCTATCTAGCCTATCTACAATTCTACTGGTGGCGTCAACAGCTCCCCGAAGTACGAGCAGATCTCGGACAATGTCGTTCACTTCAAGCACCAGGTATGTCTCTCGTATCACTCACAACCTCGATCCCCAACTCTCATGCACCCGAGGACCACCATGCGGCCCATCCAGCATACAGCAGCGCAGCATGGCTATGGCTGCCTGCCCATCCAGCTCGCCCGTGAGCGTGTGGGCACTGGCCAGTGTTAGCGCAGCAGCGCTTGCGCATCATCCAGCCAGTGCCCGAATGTCGAATGCGTGGGCAGGCACTTTCCTAAATGGAAATTGCCTGCCTGCTGCGTGAAGCCTGGCTGCGTTGGGCCCCTACCCAGAAGCTTCCGGTAGGCCCAGAGAGGCTGTGCCCCAGTCCACACGAATCAGGCCCTGGGGCTCTGGTAGTTGCCCGTGTCCAACTGCCCTCGGCCTGTATTCGTCCATGTTGCGTATCTTGCCCAGGGCCTGCCTCCGTTACATATGGAAAAAGGCAGCCCGGGCCTGGGTGCTTTCAACCAACTGGTGCTGCGCAACTGCCTGAATTTACCCTGTTGCACAGTGACCCCAAAATAGGCCTGTTGGCCCTGGGTCGAGCCTGCCTTCACTTAGGGCGGCCGACTGTACAGAAAATAGGGCCCAGTAGGGCAGATCGAGGCCTCGAGCCTCGCAATTTACAAACATCTCTGCCAAACTTTTCTCCTAAATCACTAACCATACAACAAACACAAAGGAAAAGAGGACGGAAAATCCGGACATCGGGTGAAACTGAAAGGAAGTGCAGACAACACGCAAAAGCCAGATGGAAAGCATATCGTTGATAAGTCGATCATTGAATATACAACGAACAACGTGAAAACGACAAGGTTAATCAGGTGAGAATGGACGGTGTCTTTGATGGGAGAGCAATAGTTGACAAGTTCGGGCCAAGGCCAATGCCAATCACTTCAATGCACACCAATGGCAAAGCTATCTTAACACCATTGAACTTCCGGAAAACCAAACCCGGTCGTCAACATTAAGCCTGTGACACTCACCTTCTTGATCGGCCTGCAAAACAGTGAACCAGCACGCTGCCACCACTTCTCTTCGCCTCATCGATGAACTCGAAACATGCATCCCACATTGAAGCCAGGTCGGCATCCGGACTGTCAGGCACTGCCACGAAGCCAGGGACAACATCAGCACCACTTCAACTCTCTCTCTCTCTCTCTCTCTCTCTCTCTCTCTCTCTCTCTCTCTCTCTCTCTCTCTCCAAACGGTCACCATAGCAACCGCTTTTTGCCTGAGGGCATAGACATCAAAACTGAAACATTTTTTTCAAGTGGATAGATCGCATGATTGTGATGTTTTAGCTGAAACAGCCATCTCATTGCCGCTAACGTGGTTGGTGCAAGGCTACTGCCCAATACAAAGTATGTACCCTAGTAACCTTCCCTAACAATTCCGACTTCCAGAAGTCGGCTTGGAATCAGAATACAGAATAAAACATACATGTATGCATATGTGAATATAGCATACAACGCCATACAAAGGATTTATTTGGGCAGACCATTTTTGTATTCAAATACATGAAACATTGAACGCTGACCTCCAAACTGCCTACCGCATGATGTGGAACTTTGGCCTCACTAGAAGAGAAAATCGTGCCTGAATACATTCCAAAACAACTTCACCCCTCCCTAACGTCATCACAGTCCGTTTGAAAAGTTGTCTGGCAAGGTATGTTTCTGCTGCTGCTGCTTTTTCTTTGGACGTATATCTCACAAGTGGGTGGCATGTCTCTGTGAGCAGGCATTTGATCTATGTGTACAGAATATATTGCCAAATATTTATAAAGTCGTTATGATCTTGGTTGTCTGACGATTTTTACCGCCACTCACACACAGAATCTCATACACGCCCATACATGCACAAGAGAAGGGGGAGAGGAGACAGAGTCCAAACTGCACACAGATCAGAATAGATAGCGGAAGCACAACCATGCACAGATGGGGAGAGGACACACAGTGTTTCTCACTCTCTGACGATACTCCCAACAACCAATCACAAGAAAGAACCTGCGAGGATAACAATTGGAATACAAACTACTGATGAGCCAAGTAACCAAAAATCGTTACAGAGTTTGTTCCAGAATCTCGCCACTCTCAGAACCTCACACTCCCCTCTCTACCCTACACCCAGTTAGTAGCGCCACATCAGAATGGCCTCCCAGAGGCCAGCGCCAACCACCCAGATGAAGAACAGATCCTGCGATTAAGTCTTCAGTGCCGCTGAACAACTCTGACGAAGAACCTGCAGCTATGGCTGCCGCCACCGACATAGACTCAGTGAAGAGTCCCCACACAGCCCAGCCGCTTGCAGAAACCCACAGGGGTTGATGCGCAGGGGATGCCTCAGCTATGGCAAGCACTCAGCAGGCTGGCTATGGCTGCTGTCCACGGTGAGGGTCTCAGGGTACCGCCTGCAGACAATCGCCGTTGCAAAACCTCCTTGGCTCCAAACGCTGTATCGCCAAAGCGAACTGCCAAAAAGTCCTAAACAGTTCTACCCTATCCTACTTGTAGACTCTACACTACGCTAGCCTAGGGTCTACCGGTACCGGTTCAGTTAGGGCCTACTCGGCCCTAGTGCTGCACTTAGGGCTCAGGGCCACTTAGGGCCGGTAACCACTCAGCCCTTATGGGTGTTAGTCCCCGATATTTTTAGAATAGCGGGCGGCCCTCAGCGCAGACCAAAAACACAGCAAACACAGCACACTGCACAACCTCGCAAGTCAGTCTCGGCAGTAGAAATCAGCAAGTCATTGCAGGCTTACCCCCCCGGGGAGCGAGGACCTCCGAGCTAGGGGTGCAGACGAGGTGAACGGCGAGGAAGGTTACCCTTATGAGCCGCTTCATACCGCAAAACAACTGACTTTGCTGTCTTGAGAAGTTCCCTTCTGTAGAACCATCTGTTCTCAGAAGGAGGCTGGAATGCAAACCTCACAAGATACTGCCGATCGGGGCCNGCTGTCTTGAGAAGTTCCCTTCTGTAGAACCATCTGTTCTCAGAAGGAGGCTGGAATGCAAACCTCACAAGATACTGCCGATCGGGGCCTGCGCCCCACTCATCACCAGTTCGCAGTAGCTGATGCAGATCCCAAGGCTCGATCCCTAGTTCCCCAACTTACCTGTGTACAGTACTAGTGTCAACCCGTAGATTTGAACCTGCGACCCGTAGGACCGCCAGTGGTAGGTAGGATTTCGTAGGTTACAGGGTAGAAGAGATTCAAACTGTAGACCTGTCGGGTAGGAGTCTAGACAGTCTAGAGGCCGTAGCTGTAGACTGTCCAAAGGGTCAAGGTCGTAGCTGCTACTTACCTGAAAGGGCAAAGTCGTAGCTGCTACAGTACCGAAAGGCCGAAACAGAGAGTTCTAGAAGTGGCCTTTCGGAGTCAGCCTACGTTAGACAGAGGCAAGTGGTCAAGTGGTGGTAGTCCACCTCATACAGTCAGCAGTCCCAGTCCACCCAGTCCGGTCCAGTCAAGCAAGTACCGTCTGGGACTGTGTGCACCGTGGGCCAGGGGACACAGGGCAGACCAGCGAGGCATAGAAGTATAAATCAAGGGGCTGCGTCCAGCCATTCATTCATTCATGCGGAAGCCATGCGGAAGCGCTGCCTCAGCGTCTTGTGCAAGGAGGTCTGCTGGAGGCCCGAAGACGAAGTGGGCGAGAGTGAAGCCGTGTTGTCATAGCGATAGGTAGCGGCAGCCATAGTTGCCATAGCTTAGTATAGAGTGCAGTGTATGTGTACTGTGTGAGTGTTCAGAGTGAGGTGCGTGAGACATCCAGGGTGATCAAGAGTGTGCACAGTGAGTTGTTTGGGCGCACAGCCGCCATAGCCAATTACAAGAGAACTCTTATCTGGTTGCGATATCTCTGAGTACTGAGTGGGCGCAGGTCGCCAGTTTGCTCTATCGCTGTTTACATGCATGAAAAGAGTGTATGAGTCGAGTCTGATTGCACTACCCTATCCTACTTGTAGACTCTACACTACGCTAGCCTAGGGTCTACCGGTACCAGTTCAGTTAGGGCCTACTCGGCCTCTACGAAACCGGTCCTAGTGCTGCACTTAGGGCTCACGGCCACTTAGGGCCGGTATCCACTCAGCCCTTACGGGTGTTAGTACCAGCTATTTTTAGAATAGCGGGGGGCCCTCAGCGCAGACCAAAAACACAGCAAGCACACAGCAAACACACAGCACACTGTACAACCTCGCAAGTCAGTCTCGGCATTAGAAATCAGCAAGTCATTGCAAGCTTACCCCCCAGCGGAGCGAGGACCTCCGAGCTAGGGGTGCAGACGAGGTGAATGGCGAGGAAGGTTGCCCTTTGAACTCTTCATGCCGCAAAACAACCGACTTTGCTGTCTTGAGAAGTTCCCTTCTGTAGAACCATCTGTTCTCAGAAGGAGGCTGGAATGCAAACCTCACAAGATACTGCCGATCGGGGCCTGCGCCTCTCTCATCCTCAATCCACTCCACGTCATATCCCTTGCCAGGGATCGGTGGACCGAACTGAGGGGGCCGGTCAGGGAATGCATCAGCTGGAGTAAATGGCAACAGCTTAGATGCATGAAAGACCGGGTAGGTACGTAGATGCAAAGGGACGTCAATGACATAGGACAGACCGAATAGATCGGCGCCCACTGTATCCAGGACCTGCCATGGACCCAAATAACGAGGCAACAGATTGGGGGAGATATCCTCCTCCCTCGACAGCTCTAAACTGGCTACCCTGACATGATCACCTATGCGGATGGGGAAAGCCCGCCTGTGGCGATTAGCTAGTTCAATCATCGCCTTTTGCTCTTTGAACAAGTTCACCCGTGCTCTTTCCACATCTATGCGGTAGCTTCTGGTGAACTATGAAATGCCTGGAGTCAGATCAGACTTGGCCTTATCGATGATATTGTCGAGAGGCTGCCGTGGTTCACGTCCCCAATGCAACCGGTATGGACTGAACCCACTGAGTCAAGGCCGCTGCAACATCTGTTTCAGCAGCTGGCCCAGTCCCAGCTGATGGTGTATCAGCTTGGGAATCTGAGTCAGAAGCTGACGCAGACCCTGCATGTGCAAAGGCTGCCTTTCCCTTTCTACCCCCATGAGGGAAGGCACCTTTCCTCCTGTCTGAGGAGGGGGCCTGAACATGAAGTTTTGCTTCCATGTCCAGGACTGCACGGCCAAAGGACCTCCAGCCCTTGTGTCCAGCGCTGTATAAAGCAACAGAAAACTTCTTAGGGGTTGCCCTACAAAAGTTTGCCAGCAAGTCATCTGCAGACATCACCAGACCTGGTGTGGAAGTGAGCTGCTCGAACTCTGCAAATAAGGACTGCAGGGTACCGCTGTAACGCTGCTGGCCCAGGCGAGCAATCCTGTCAGCAGCCTTGCGGGCCCGCTCCTTATCTGCAAAGCGGTCTTCACGGCCTGCAGAAGACGATCTACTCCCAATCCCAAAGCCCAGTCCTCCATGGTTTGTTGCAGACCGCTGGAGGTAGAGGTGGCCCATTTCTCGGCAGGCCCCTCCAGCAGCCCCAGAACCGTTTCCACCTTGGTCTGTTCTGGGCATATGAAGCCCCTCAAGTAGGCTCTGGTCCTTGCAGCCCAGTCCCCAACATTAGTTTTGGGGTCATCCCCCCTGAACTTGTTGGGAGCAGGGATCTTGGGACCTCTCTGATCCCCTGCAGCAACAGCAGCATAGGTGGGTTTGGCTGTGGACTTTTGCGAAGGAGGTGGTGAAGGGGAAGAATGGTGTGAACCAGAAGGGGTTGAAGAGGGACAGGAAGAAGGTTTGGGTTTTGCTGAGAGAGCAGGAGACATGGGAGCAATCAGCTTGGCTGTTGTCAGCTGAGCAGTGAGATCCTGGATTGCTGTCAGGATCTTAGACTGCTGAGCTGGCAGGTCATCCACCCTGCGCTCTAGGCGGCCAATGCGGTCGTCCCAGTTAGTGAAATAAGAATTGGTGGCCTTGTGCTCCAGAAGAGCCCATTCCACCAGATTCTTATTCACCTGGGAGCAACGATCATCTGTCATAACCTTGTTGAGCTGGTCCAACAGGTACTCCCTTCTGGAAGTATCTGTTGCGGCCTCCAACTCGGCTGCCTCTTGTCTCTCAACTTCGTCCAGCAGGGCCTGTTCCTGCTGCAACCTTTCCTGAATCTCCTTCTTCCTTCGCTGAGTAGCAGTCAAGGGAGTACTAGGGGTGGAGGTAGCAGGCTGTTCACCTTCTACCTTCATCACTACCTCTACCTGTGGCTGCTGCTGAGCGACCTGATCAGCCATTTTCCTCTTTCAAAACACACAAAAATAAACAAACAGCAGAGAGTATGCAGCGATATACAGATCCCTTCAGACGCTCAGAAATCGCTGCCAACTCATGCACAGAAGTCAGGTGGGTGGTTGGGAAACAAACGGTTTGGGTTGGAACTGTTTCTCTGGAGGCAGGGGTCGGACAAACAGTTAGTCCAGCAAAATCAATCACACGATCTCCTTTTAATGACCCTGTACCACACTAGAGTTAGTAAACACAGTGCACTACTCTTCCAAAGAAACACTAGATTTCCAGAGCCCACTAGAAAACAAGGGTAGTCAGTGGGAATGATAAAACATGGCAAGTATAGACTAGAAAGGTCAACCAAGCAGAGCGATTCAGTTAGAAACCCCATATCCTAGCTCAGACTCAATTTTGGGCCCTGATGACTCCGACGGCCATACCCTAGGGTATGGCGAAGAACAGTATTGACTGTTTCCAGTGAAATACTAGAAATCAGATCTAGCGATTCTGCAGGAAGGACTGTTTTTTAATTGCGATTTACTGGGGACTGACAAAATTAAAGTTATGACTGACCCGAGATAGCACAGGCTATAAATAGATTTAGCGCACAACTACAATTCATAGTACCACTACTTTTCCAGTGCAGGATTCACAGTCTGAGCATCCCAAATCCAGCGCAATACTGTGAAGCAGTCACAGAACAATTTTGGATACAAAAGAGTCAACAAAGGGTTAGAAATGAGCAAAGGAAGGTAGGGGAGAGATGGCTATGGCTGTCATGCAGTCTGCGATTTTCAAATCCAGTCACTGACACAGAGATAGACCATAATTACTAACTAATCTAATCCTATCTGAATCGCTATACAGGTAGGTGCATGGAACGGACTCACTTTCAGCGTATCTGGCAGAGGTTGATGAAGATCTAGCTATGGCAGATTGAAACCCTCATCTCGCCAGTTTCTTCCAGAAATTCTCCTTCTCTACTCCACGCACAGAACCTCTTCAATCTTGTTGATCTTATCCAGGACCCTGATGCGCTTCAGACCCTTCAATCAGATTCACTGAATCTGACTTTGTGGCACCCAAATCGCCAACTGATGAAAATCTCGCCACAGGACCTGAGATCCACTGATGCTATAAATAGCCCCAGATGGGGTTATTTTTACTTGTGATTGACACAAACCGTCAATCTCCCACAGCGCTGCTCAGGGATGAAGCCGCTCAGCAATCCCGGAAGTCTCCAGGGGTACTTCGCCACTCGGGGGTACTTCGCAACACTACCCCCAGGGTTGGCTATGGCGAATTGACCCTTTTCTCGCCACTTCCAAACAAGCGCCCTGACAGGCTCGGTGCGCTTGCTCAGTACAAGCACTGCACTCTTGAATCCACTGCTTGAAATCTTCTTCCCTGCAGACTCAGTACTGGGGAAGATGAATCGCCATGAAACTCTCGCCAATATCTCGCGAGGATGAAGAAGATGCCCTTTGCACTCAACCCTCAGTGCTCCAATTCCAATCTCGCTTTGATACCAATTGTTATGATCTTGGTTGTCTTACGATTTTTACCGCCACTCACACACAGACAATCTTATACACGCCCATACATGCACAAGAGAAGGGGGAGAGGAGACAGAGTCCAAACTGCACACAGATCAGAATAGATAGCGGAAGCACAGCCATGCACAGATGGGGAGAAGACATACAGTGTTTCTCACTCTCTGACAAACTCCCAACAACCAATCACAAGAAAGAACCTGCGAGGATAACAATTGGAATACACACTGATGATGAGCCAAGTAACCAAAAATCGTTACAGAGTTTGTTTCAGTATCTCGCCACTCTCAGAACCTCACACTCCACTCTCTACCCTTCACCCAGTTATTAGCGACACATCAGAATGGCCTCCCAGAGGCCAGCGCCAACCACCCAGATGAAGAACAGATCCTGCGATGAAGTCTTCACTGCCGCTGAACAACTCTGACGAAGAACCGGCAGCTATGGATGCCGCCACCCACATAGACTCAGTGAAGAGTCCCCACACAGCCCAGCCGCTCGCAGGGGTTTATGCGCACGGGATGCCCCAGCTATGGCAAGCCCTCAGCAGGCTGGCTATCGCTGCTGTCCACGGTGAGGGTCTCAGGGTACTGCCTGCGGACAATCGCTGTTGCAAAACCTCCTTGGCTCCAAACGCTGTATCGCCAAAATGAACTGCCAAAAAGTCCTAAACAGTTCTACCCTATCCTACTTGTAGACTCTACACTACGCTAGCCTAGGGTCTACTGGTACCGGTTCAGTTAGGGCCTACTCGGCCTCTACGAAACCAGTCCTAGTGCTGCACTTAGGGCTCAGGGCCACTTAGGGCCGGTAACCACTCAGCCCTTACGGGTGTTTGTCCCAGCTATTTTTAGAATAGCGGGCGGCCCTCAGCGCAGACCAAAAACACAGCAAGCACACAGCAAACACACAGCACACTGTACAACCTCGCAAGTCAGTCTCGGAAGTCGAAATCAGCGAGGCATTGCAAAGTAATATAAACTAAAAAGTGCACTTTGTGAAACAACCAAAGAAAATAGGACAGCAAGAGGCACAATGAAGCACTCCTTCACCTTTCTTTTTTTTCTTCTTTCTTCTGTTTTTTCTCACAGTTTCTCTTTCATTTCTTCTTAGCTCTCCCTGTACAATGCCTGTCGCGTACGAAGTTGGCCAAGTTGATGTAGTTAAGAAGGCTACCTACATCCCCATTTGCCATAACAGCCCACTCGCACACCGTGAAAGGAGCAGAGGTGAGCATTTGTGGTTCGTTCACCCACGCTTGACCGACCCTTCGTTTTAATCTGCAATTCTGTCCTTTCTACTAGTTCATATTACTATTCCACTTGTTGTTAGGGTCCCTACTCCTCCTGATATGTAGCCAGTGATTGACCAGCAGGGCTACATATGTGATGAGCCAGTGGAGACTTCTAACCTTGACTGGGCGGATTGTTTTGAAAAATTTCCATGGTATTCTGGAAATCTGGTTTGCCCATCTCCTAACAGCCTTGTCCATCTGCGTCTAGTTGTTGGTTCGGGGTCTTGTGTCTAGAGTAAAATCTCATAGCCTAATTTGACTGTGTATTCTGATATTGGTAAGGTGGTGTTTTTCCTTTTGCCCTTCTTCAGTTGCCAACTCCATTCGGCTGGTTCAAATTCCAGCTCCTGGATGGGAGTGCCTATTTGAAACATCGTCTTTGGCCATAGCCCCATTATTCTGATTTTGTGTAAGGTGTACACATTGAGGATGACTTATTCTGAGTGTTGGTTCAGTATAGCCGGGGCTTTGGGATTGGTGTGGCAGACGACGAAGGATGTGAACACGGCCAAGTAGCTACTGGTGTCCCACTTGTTTGAGAACTGGTAGGCCCAGGTTGGGGGCACAACTTGGATTTCTAACCCCCATTCTCCCGGCTATCAGAAGAAGTCTTCCTTTAGGAGTTCTACCAGCTTTCAGGAATGTTTCTCATCATCTCTTGCAGGTTCTCATCGTGATGATGACGTCCCTTGAGGTGAGCTTCGAGTTCATTTCATCCAGCCAGTCTTTCTTCTCGTCATTCCATATGTGGTTCATCTTCCATATCTCACTGCTGACCCGTGACCCCCATCTGCTGTCTTGGGAAATTAGCGGCCATGGGAGGTCCGCATCATTCTTTATTGCCAGTTTCCGAGGAGTGTCCGCAACACTTCTTCTTTGGATCCGGGTTTCTGTATTTTTCCAAACATTATTTCCCTCCAGATTCGGATTAGCGCTGACCACTAAGGAAGTGAGGTTGCTGTGTCCTCTCCACAGGGGGCCCTCTCCTTCTTCTTCGATGGCCTGTTTGTTATTCCATTCTTTATTCATTATCCAAAAGAGCCCGAGTTTCCTTGTGATATAGTGCCAGGCTATCTTTGGTATGTAGTTTTCTTTGCTTGGGACTCCTGCCGCGAGGAACGCTCTGGCCTTACTGCTTAAATTTTTGATAGTATCGTCAGGTATTGTCCAAATTGAGGCTATGCACCACATCATAGAGAAGATCAAGCATACTTGCGGCGCATCGAGGTGCGCTGCACCCCGCACGTGCGCCGCACCACGCACGACGCGCCCGTACGGGGTGCAGCGCACCCCGAAAAAGAGGGGTCGACCAAAAAAAAAAAAAAGTTGCCGAGGGGTGTTCTGGGCCGGGGTGGGATGTCGCGTGAGGAACCAAAAACAAACAACAACAACAGTTTGAGGCCGCACGGGCCCTCGGAAAAAAAAAAGGGGGGGAGCTGAAGTTGTTTTTTTTTTTTGAAGTTTCGAATCCGGAGTGCTGCCCCTCGCTGCGTAGATGAACCCCGGTAGTCCAGCTTTGTGCCCTTCGCGCCGCCGTGCGTTGCCCGTTGCCTCCACGTCGCTTGTGCAGCAGCAGCAGTCGAAGGCGTCGTCGTCCAGCCATAGCCAGGGCACTACAGTCTTCCTGAAGGAGCCGAAGAAGCAGCGGGAGGAGCGCGGCTTCAGCTCGTAAAGTTGCGAGGTGGGTAACCACTAGCCCCTCTCTCTCTCTCTCTCTCTCTCTCTCTCTCTCTCTCTCTCTCTCTCTCTCTCACACACACACACACACACACACACACACACACACAACCATGTGGCAGTGTATATTGCCATGTTGTAGCGGTAGATTCATCCCTCTTTTTTGTTTTTATATATCCACCATATCTCGATTGAAGCGTGTCATCCTTGCGCAGCGGCCTTGAACATAAGCCTCAAAGGATCTCTCTCTCTCTCTCTCTCTCTCTCTCTCTCTCTCTCTCTCTCTCTCTCTCTCTC